TGATTTTGCATTGTCTCTTGGAGTTCCTTGGGCTAGGCCTGACACAGGTGGACTAATAGACTGGAAGGGCCTTAAGGGCTGTCTTTCAGTCCTGGTATCTGAGGGCACAGTAATGTGGTGAAGGAGGGTAGTGAAGAAGTATGTGTGTCCTGAAGGAGGAAAGAGAGGCAGATTTGCTTAGAGGGCTCCTCAGCACAGGACATTCATAACTCTCTGTGCCCTGTTACTTTGGTACTCTACCAGCGCCAGAGGCTCCGGGAGTTGCTTATACGTCAGCAGATCCAGAGGAACAACTTGAGGCAAGAAAAAGAGAGTGCAGCAGCTGCAGCCACCAGTGTTCAGTCCTCGTGGAATGCTGAGGCCCCTGGGCCAGCCTTTGAGCAGATCAGTCGCAGCATGACTCCGTACCCATCAGCACAGGTAGGCCTATATCCACAGAGAGGGCCGACATTTGACTGCACTGTGAATTATGGAATCCAACTTTCCGTACAGCTTTTGATACGTTGCTGAAAGGATTTTGTTCAAAGATCTGAAAGAGGTCCTCCTTTTGACATTCTGGAACAGACAGCAGCAGGGGCCTGAACCTGATCTAAATCTGCTTTATATGTGACACATGTAACCTTTTATGTGTGCTCTTAGGTCTGGTGTTTAAAAAATTGATACTGCCCTGATGATTTAAACCTGTGGTTATTTTAGGTCTGTAAGATAAATAAATGCTTAAATGAATGGAATTGAGTGATGGCCCTTATTGCACTAAACTTTGTACATGATGGCTTTCCTGAAAGTATTTTTTTCTAACATGGTACTCATACTGTTCTGTCCGACAGTAACAATCTTGCATGTTGACTCTTCCTTTTTATAGGACAAGGGACTACTTGGTAGCTTGGGGAGCACCCCAGGGGGCAGCAAACTCCCCAGTGGTGTGATGGTACAGGCACCCTACATGCAGGATGAACGACTGGCTCGGCCACCTCCAGCAGCAACGCCGTCAGCTGTGGATATCAATGGCAGGTAAGGCTCTAGCTGGTGTTAGAAAAGCCGATCCAGTCACAATACCGAGATGGACAGAAGGAAAGAGGCAAATTATTGATCAGTAGAATTCTGTTACTAGCCAAGAGAAGGTATCTTGCAGTTTGTGACTCACTCCACCCGCTTTTTAGCACCCCCTCAAGCACCCTAGGATTGTGCCACAGAAATCCAGTGATAAAACTGATTTTGAGTAGCAGAAGGAAACTTTGTGTATTAGTTATTTATCTATGTATATGCCGTCCAAGTCTCAGCAACTCTGGGCCGTTTACCAACAATTTAAAACATGAAAAACATGACAATAACAAAAACATGACACACAAAAAAGGGGTAGAGGTGGCAGAATAACAAACTGGGTGAAAACAAAAGAAAACAACCTAAGTTAAAAGGAGGCTTCAGTCACCCCGCCAAAGGCCTGGATAAAGAATCAGGCTTCAGGCTCCTTCGAAACACCAGCAGGTTGGAGGCCATTTGGACCTTGGGGGAACCTCATTCCATAAGGCAGGCGCTGCGACAGAGAAGGTACACTTCTGGGCCCCTGATAGATGGCATTGCTTAATTAAAGGAACCCAGAATACGCCAACCCTGCCAGAAAGAATCAGCCAGGCAGATACTATGGGAGATAAGCAGTACCTCATGTCACCAGGCTCTATGCCAAGTAGGGCTTTATAGATGATAACCAGCATCTTGAATTGCATCCAGAAGCAAACTGGCAATCACTGCAGCTTGTGAAGCAGAGGTGTTACATGGGCATACCAAGGCATGTTCATTACTGCTCATGCCGCTGCATCCTGGACAGGTTGAAGCTTCAAGGGCAGCCCCATGTAGAGCACATTACAGTAGTCAAGCCATGAGGTGACTGGGGCATGAGGGATCATCTGAAGGGCCCCCTGATCTAGGAAAGGGTACAACTGGTGCACCAGATGGAGCTGTGCAAAGGCTTTCTCTGCCACAGCTGCCACCTGCTCATTGAGCAGGAGCTGTGAGTCCAGGAAGACCCCCAAGTTGTGCACCACCCGTGAATGGGGAAGTGTCACCCCATCCAAGGTAAGTCATGAAATACCCCCAGATGCAGGCAGCCCAAACTAGCTGTGAATCCAGAAGGACCCCCAAGTTGCACACCGGTCTTGAATAAGGAATGCAGCCCCATCCAAGACCAATGATGGTAACATCCCTGGCCCTGGGGGGTCCAAACAGCCACAGCCATTCAGTCTTGTTAGGATTGAGCTGAAATTTGTTCTGCCCCATCCAAACCCGAACAGCCTCCATTTACTGGGTCAGTACATCAACAGCTTTACCTGTGCCCCTTGGGGTTGAGATGTTGAGCTGGGTATCATCAGCATACTGATGATACCAAACCCTGAAATGGCAGTTGACCTCACCAGGAGCTTTCATGTAGATGTTGAACAGGAGAGGGGAGGAGATTGTTAAGCCCTGAGGCACCCCACACGTGAGGGGCTGTGGATGCAATCTCTTTCCCCTATCAACACCAATTGGAACCGACTACTAAAGAAGGAGGTGAACTACTGGAACACGGAGCCTCCCACTCCTAACCCCTGCAGCCGGTCCAGAAGGATACTGTGGTTGACAGTATCGAAAGCCACTGAGAGATCAAGGAGCACTAGGATGGATGAACCACCCCCATCCCGGCTCTGCCAAAGCTCATCAGCAACTTCCTGCCTTTCCGAGGGCTACAGGGGGACTGGCAGATGATGTAATATCACTGGAATGGATAGGATTGAATTTTTATGACCCTTTTTTGTCTAAAAAATGAGAATAAGGATAAATTAACCCAAGTATTTGGGAGTTTTAAGTAGTCCAAAAGAGACCAAAAATACCTCAGAATACACATAGTAGCACCCTGTTGGCAAAGTGGGAGAATGCGGACAATTTGCTGATTCATGACAGGTTTCTCTGATGCCTGTAAGAGTATTAATATGTAGGATAAGAATTTCTCTCTCAGTAGATCATTAACTTGCCCATTATTTATTGGTCTTCCCCTGATGAAACAGGATAAGCCTGGCAAACTGTGGCTTCAGGTAAGAGCAGGCAGTGAGTGGGCCACGTCCAAGCATTATTTTGTGGTGCTGAGGATTCCCCAAGATTACAGTGCTGAAGTTTAGTGACAAACTAGTTTTTGGCAGGAAATTAAATAAATGAGTCTTCAATTGCATTAAACAAAATCCAAAATCCTCAAAAATAGGGGACAGAGGGAATCCATCCCCTATTTTTGAGGATTTCTTCCTACTGTTGTCATTATCTCACCAGCCAGAAAACAAGAAGTTATAAAAGATTTCTTGCCACCTCTTAGGGTGAATGGTAGCAGGCTACCTAACCCACTTTTTAAAATGTCTCATTTTTCAGGCCATCAGTAACAGCAGCTGCACAGCCATTTTATGCCCGCAGTGTCTTCCAAACTCCACCTGCACAGCAGCAGATGTGGCAGCAGCAGCAGCAGCAGCAGCAAGCAGCATCCATGCGTCTCCCAGTCTCTTCACGCTTCCTACAGCCCCCCACCCAAGACCTAAGTCGTCAGACTTTGGGAGGCCTGGCTCCGCGCCTGCCTGCTCCTGGGGAACAGTTTCAGACTTCATCTGGCCCACTAGGAGCCCAGTTCATTGAGTTAAGGCACAACATCCCAAAAGGAGTGCTAGGAAGTGGAGCTGGCCCTCCGTTTGTCCAACAGAATCTGCAGGCTCGACCCAGATTCTTCTTGCCTGGGAATGACAGTACCAATCAGGCTTTGAAAGCTTCCATTATGCCTGTGCAGGCCCCTGTCCTGGGAAGCCAAGGGATGCAAACACAGAAGATCCCTATTTCATCCTCCCTTCAGGGTTCAGAGATGAGCAATAATCATCACTCTCATGCCAAGGCCATTCCCCAGTTAATACTGCCTCCTGGCAACATGGAGGTGCGACATATCCCAGCCCGAACACCCTCTTCATCTGTCCCTAAAGATGTACCCCTTGCCTCAGCCAACATTGACGCTACCCCAGCCGCTGGCAAGAATCAGCTAGGTCTAGTCAGCAGGCCATTAGCTTGCGAGGTCCCAGTGGAACCAGATTTAGATGATGATTTTGATTCCCACAAGGACCTTGTTGAAGATGATGATGACTTGGCCAACTTAAGCCTTGATCCAGATGTTGCCAAGGGTGATGATGATCTTGACAACCTGGATAACCTGGAAACCAATGACCCACACCTTGATGATCTATTAAATGGTGATGAGTTTGATTTGCTAGCGTATACAGACCCAGAACTGGACACTGGAGATAAGAAGGATATCTTCAATGAGCATCTGCGGTTGGTGGAATCTGCCAACGAAAAGGCTGAACGTGAGGATCGGCTAAAAAAAGAGCCCTCTGTAGGTCCCTACCTCAAGGATGCTCCCTCTGCTGGTGCTGGCAAGCCAGGTGAACAGAAGGCACCACTAATGTCCAGAGATGATGTTCCCAAAGTGAAAGAAGGACTTGGCCTTCTCCAAGTTCCCTGTTCATCTTCTGCAAGGGTGTCTCCATCCCCCATCCTTGCAACCTTCAAGGCCCAAAGTGACATGCTGGACAGCAAGATGGCTAGCCTGCCAGCTGATATCAAACCCAAGGTAGAGGAAGGCTGTATAAAGCCCTCACCCTGCCAGTTTAATACTAGCACTGCAGAGAAACCTCCTGTCAAATCTGAAGGAGCAGAGAAAATGATTGCTACCTTAGGAGTAAACATCAAAGCCAGCCAGAATCTCATGAGTTCTGGTGGAGTGCAACTTGGTATGGCTCAGTTCCACAGCAACAGTCACACTTCCATATCAGATAAGGTCCTCTACAGCACCCAAACCCGTCCATCACTTATTCCTGTCTCAGTGCCCAACAACACTAATTCCATCCTGGAAAAGTTTGAGCTAGATGGAGGGCCCTTGAGTCTGACTAGTAGTCAGCAGCACTCTCCGGCTGATGAACTAGACAAAATGGAAAGCTCCTTGGTGGCCAGCGAGCTCCCTCTCCTGATTGAAGATCTGCTGGAACATGAAAAGAAGGAACTGCAGAAGAAGCAGCAGATGTCTGCCCAAATGCCCGGGGGCTCCCAGCACCTCCAATCCCACGCTGTATTGGCACATTCTGCTCCCCCTTCCCAACCTCATGATGGGCAGCTAGTAAGCCCTCAGCAACAGCTGCAGTTGAGCATTGTAGCCAGACCACAGGGCATGGTGGGCAACCAGCAACTGATGCAGCAGCAGCAGCAGCAACGTCTGGCTGGTCCCCAGCAAAACCAAGGGCTAACACCACACCTGGGAGTACCTCAGAACCAGACTCACATGCTTACCCCTCAGCATGGCATACAGGCAACTCATAGCCAACAGAACCAACAGCAGGTCTTAGCCCAGAAGAATATGCAAGGCGTCCAGCAGCAGCAGATGATGGGACTTAAGCCCCAACAAATTGTGATGCAGCAGCAACAACAGCAGCAGCAGCAGCAGCAGCTGGCTAACAGCTTCTTCCCTGATACGGGTATGGGAACTATATTAGCCTATTTATTTAGTTTTTACCAGGATACACAGAATTCTTAATTGTCATTAAGCAAGTGCTGCTTTAATTGCAAATTAAAATTTGCTGTTCTACTGATTGGCAGGGGCTAACTGGAAAGGAAACATTCTGAGAATTGGAACTCATCAGTTGGGATTTTTCAAAAAGTATACCAATGCCAGGTTCATCAGGCCAAATCTGATCTAAATTTAAATGCAGCCTTTTCCTAATCTGTTAAGAAAAGCACATAGCTTAATATGAATAGCAAATGTTCAAGAGTGCAATATATGTGTGTGTCTGCGTTCTATTTTAAATGTGATATGAGTGAATCAATGGCCACTCCTAGCCTTTAATTTCATCTTATCAGTCCTGTCTACTGATTTAAATAATCTGGATGTCTTGGGGCTGTAATTCCTAGACATTCCAGCCAACTGGGGGCTATGCAGCAACACATCAGGGGAGCACATCAAAATTGCACGGGGCATATCTGTACATACTCTTAGCTGGTTGCTGTAGTGAGGGTATTACTGTGTAGAAAACCAGATGTGATTTATATGTATGAAAAAGGCTTAAAAAGTTTACCTTTACCATATGGTTGGGATCTTAGCTCTGGAGAGTTAGTTCTCTGTGAACTAGGAGCTGTCATGTGGTGAGTTCAATTCACTCCCAGATTAGAAATGATAGCCTGAAGCCACTGTGGACTGTATATTGGGGGTGATGTTTGTTTAGGTTTACCATATATGGACAATAGAAATCCAGGTGATCACTAAGTGGCAGCGAAGAATTGGAGTTTAATATTTCCAGCAAGTCTTTGGCAAGGAGTGGTTTTCCAGTCAATCAGCTATTCAGTTTAGTGAAGTATGCATTAGATCGCAAATGCTTTAATGTTGAGATAACAGCAGTGCATAGACTCCTCATGTCTTGGTCTCTTTTCTCTCTGTTTATACCTCCTACCTCCTGTCCCCATGTGCTTGTACAGATCTAGATAAATTTGCTACTGAGGACATAATGGATCCCATTGCCAAAGCCAAGATGGTGGCTCTAAAGGGTATCAAGAAAGTCATGGCACAAGGCAGCATTGGGGTTGCTCCAGGCATGAATAGGTAAGCAGCTCCAGGCATGAATAGGTAAAGAGCAAGCTAGAGCACTGATGGAGCAGAAGGTTTTGAGGCAGGATTCCCATGTAACAGTGATAGCAGTTGCTTGACATGGTTTGAGCTTCTTCCTCACCTTTATTATCAAATTCAAATAATAAATTTTATTTTCATTCCTGCCAAAGATAGATGATAGGTCTGCCCCAGCCCTCCTGCCTGAGTTGATATAGTAGTCTGGTGCCTCCTAAACTGGAACTTTTGGGTGCTGTGCTCCAGAACAAGTTGAGAAGGGCCACTCTGTCATAAATAGCTGAGTGTCTTTAATTTTCATTTGATTACTTGTCTGCTAGAAGAGAAAAAGTAATATTAATGTTTTGGAGTTAAAGGAAGTGGCTTTCTGGTGATGGCTCCCAATGAGATCTTTTCATTGCAATGATGAAAACATAAAAAGGCAACTTCCCATTTGTCCCCCACTCCTAGTGTGTTTATTCTTTTTTTTTTAAAAAAAGATGTATTTATTTCATTTAACAAATTTTACAGAAAGAAATCCAAAAAAACAAAAAAGGGAGATAAATATATGAAAAATAACAAAAATGCCACAGTCAACTAACTACTAAACAATCAAAAAAATTAAAATGGCGGAAATGATTGTGTGTGTGTGTATCATGTAATAATCAAATATCAAAAAAGTTTTAAATCTACATTAAAGAAGAAATTAATGATTCTCTAACAGTAGAAAATGTCATAAAATCTATGTCAAAGAAGAATATAATTAGTCATTTTTTTAAAATTGGTAGATAAAATTATCTTTTCAAAAGCAGATACGTTACACATCTCTTGAATCCAATTCTTAATATCAGGAATATTACTACTATTCCAATTTCTCAAAACAACTTTCATAGCACTACCTCAGGCCCAGTATAACCATAAGTCTTAAAAAATAGTCACATTCCAAAGTTTTGGGACGTAATTTAACATAACATTAACATCTTTAACATTAAAAAAAATTTCCATCAATTTACTTGCATACATTAAAATATCATTCAAAAAAGATGTCAGTGATTCACAACACCAAAGCATATGAGTCAGTAACCCCTCAAATTTTTTAATCACCAACAAAGAAAATCTGATGTCCATCCTTTCCAGATTATTCTTTGGGCTGTGAGGTAAATTTGAAATAAAATCTTTTGATATGTCAGTTTTATTCTTAAATCCACTGAAGCAAATTTAACATTTTTTAAGACCTGCAATCATTGATGTTTCATTATCAGGTGTTCCAATTCTTTAATCCATGAGCCATAAATGTCCTTAATGTCAACTTTAAAAATATTCTTTAATTTTGGATTGAAAAACAATGTGGGTCTAATTCAGATATCAACTCCGTCAAGTACAATAGCATCTCTGGTGTCTTAAGGGCAGCCAAAGCATCTGGTCCATATTGAGCTGTTAAAATATGGTTGAGCTGATTATATCGACTACATTGTTGTGAGTTAGGAAAGTAACATTCTATTTGAAGTTGAGAATTTTTTAAAAAAATAATCATTACAAAGTACTTGATTTAAAGTATCCATTCCAGATTCCACCCACAGCTAGCAATAGAACATTTGCCTGCTATTTTGAGGTAGAATTTTTCCGTAAAGCCAAATATTCATGCGCCTCACATCAAAACCCAGTCTATGACCCAAGCGGGCCGAAACATGTTTGTCTGCTTGCAAACCTGGAAATTAAACACCCTTTTTGCTATATGTTGACCCCAGCAATTCCAAGGAACTTCTTCCAGCAAAGCCCACAAGATTGATATTCTACTAAATGTTCATTCCACATAGAGATAGCTGATAAAATATAAGCACAATGATAGTTTTGGAAATCTGGTAAATTAAAATCATGCTTATGAGATAATCTGAATTTAGCTAATGAAATCCTAGGTGGTTTATTTTCCCATGTAAATTTCCTCAATAATATATCTTTCCAAATAAAATATTTGAGATTAATTTTGGGATATCTCTTAATACATAAATTAATCATGGAACAATATTCATTTTAATAACATTAACTTAATTCCACCAACAGTGGAATTTTAATCCATCTATTAATGTTTAACACAACCTTTTCTAAAAAATTTAACATACTCAATTCCAGACATTTAGCAATGTTTAAGGAATATAAAATTTCAAGCACTTAATATCATCTGTTGCAGTTACAAAACCTCTTTAAATTATACTGTTGAAACTTCAGAACTTAAAGAAAGTAAAAAAGACTTACTCCAATTAATCTTATATCCTGAATAGTTAGCAAAATGTTGAGTGACCTGTATAAAATTTGGCAGTGAAATAGTTAATTATTTAAAGTTGCTAAAAAATCATCAGCATATAGAAATAATTTATTTCAAAACCCTCCAAAGTGATGCTTGTAATGTCACTAGACTGCTTAATAAAAATTGCTAAGGGTTCCAGAATTAAATGAAAAAGCAAAGGGGAGAGTGGACAACCCTGACTGTAACTCAAATGCATCTGAAATAAATTGGTTTTTTATCATTCATTCCCAAGGTTGTTGATAGTAAATTTCTATCCATTTAATAAAATAAAATAAAACAGGAACCCATATCTGCTCATTTGCTTAAGAAGATTAATCCAAACCATATTAATGCTTTTTCGACATCTCAAGAAAGTCCATTCTATCTCGAACTATATCCAAAGCATCAATTAATAGATGTAAATTATCCAATCCTTCTTAATAAATCTGGACCAAGAGGAATGAATTATACAATGCATTTGGAAAGTATTCAGACCCCCTTCACTTTTTTCAATTTTGTTATGTTGCAGCCTG